TGTGTAATTAATCTTGAACTTTAAAAAAACAATATTTGAAAAAAGTATACAGTAGATTTTTCTTCAGGAAAGACCTGTCGTTTTTGGGCGATCGTTCTCTTAATTATCTATTTCAACCTAATATCTAAAACGTGTGAAGCTAGAGAAATCCCCAGTAGCGATGATAGAATTAATTAAAACAGTTTCTAATACGGGGTTCATTTATAGTTTCGCTATAACGAACTCAATATCTTTTTCAGTAGTTTACAGAATTTGAATGCTAAGCTGGAGCTAAAATACAAAATCGAAATTGCAATGACCCACAAACGATATCGATTTCAATCAGGGCTCCGAGGGAATTCCAATTAAATTGCATTCAATGAAATCTAGAACGATTATAGAATCCGATGGTGAGCAAATTAAAAGCGGCGCTCCCTAGGATTTCCTGTTCAATTTTCATGGAGTACCACGCGATAAAAATCCATTACTACGAAGGCCTCTGTCACACTCGCCGTGCTTTCTGAAAGGATTTAGAAAACTGGAAGCGACATAGATAAATACAGCAAGTGATAAATGAACGGCCGCCAGCTTTTGGCAGCGGCCGTGTTTACAATGGCCGGGAAATAGTATAAACTATTATTAAAGCAGATATGAAATTGTTTGTCGCTTCGTTGATTGATTGGGATGCAGTTGAATTGGGTGTCGCAGTCGGTTTTACTATAGTGGATCAAATTTGTGACACTAAAAAGGTTACAAACGAATAACAAAGTTTAGGCTTCTATTTAGAAACAGAACAGAAAATACATTAAGCTTAACACTATTACTGTAATAAGGACCGTAAATAAAGAAAGTCCCAAAGTCTAAATAAAGTTAGGTCCTTTTTTATGGAACAGGAGGCAAACGAGCAAACGTCTTGGCAAAAACATGTCGATAAAAAACTGTGTTTATCGTATTGACTACAGAATCTTAGTGTAAAGATTCTGTAGTCGATATGATAACAGGATCTTTCTAAAAGTCTTTCACCCCAACACCATTATTTAATGTGGCTTTACAACTAAAAACAATTGAAGTGTTATTACTGTTTAGTCTCAAATCTTCAAACAAACACACCAGGCTTATCCAGCAGCCATACCCAGCATCCAGGATGCCTTAATGCGATTCCCCGGCAATCACATGCTTCATTTTGTATTCCCGCAAACACGGATTACTAATGTTTGGCCAAAAAACGTTTCCCAAATTATCACATCGCAAACAACGTATCGCAAATTTTCATTTGGCAAATTCTCATTTGGCAAAGCAACTTATTGCAAACTTTTAATTCGCAAATGTTGTTTTTGGCATATTATTGTTTAGCAAATTATTGTTTGGCAAAGTATGGTTTGCCAAATGTTTCATTAGGCAAAAATATTTCACGATAAACTATTTACAAAATAATTTGATTGGTGCATAGAATGGATACAAATTAGCTTGTGGTTATTATTTTGTTTAGTGGGTAGTTAATATAAAATTTGTTCTACATTAATTTCCTTATTTCATTCTTTTTATCGAAATTTTCAAACGATTCATTAACAATAGAGGTGATTCTAGCGCTCGGCGGCCGCTGCCGCGGCACGCTTCGCTCGCCTTCGCGCATTAAGGGTCACTGTTCTAACCTAACCTAACCTACTTTTTTCTGTATTTGTTCTACATTAATTTCCTTATTTCATTCTTTTTATCGAAATTTTCAAACGATTCATTAACAATAGAGGTGATTCTAGCGCTCGGCGGCCGCTGCCGCGGCACGCTTCGCTCGCCTTCGCGCATTAAGGGTCACTGTTCTAACCTAACCTAACCTACTTTTTTCTGTAATACCTACTTTTTGCAACCATACTATTTCCTGCAACATACATAAAATTCTTGTGAAAACCATGATAATGTGTCTTATACTTTGATTTGTGGGTAACGGTGGGTAAGTATGTGAAGTGTCAATTTGAGCAAACAAATTATTTGGGATAAAATATTTGGCAACATAAAACATTTGCTATATAAACATTTGCCAAGTAAAATTTGGCCAAATGATAATTTGACCAAATGAATTAGTTGCGAAAAGTACAGTTGCTAAAAGTTCATTTGGGAAATGAAACTTTGGCGATAAGTTGTTTGCGAAGTGAAATTTGGCGAAAAGTAATTTGGCCAAACGGAAGGATACCCGCAAACACTTTTACCGCGCGCCCGCTTTACGCAAAGCGGAGTCGATACCCATGAGCTTACACCACTGGTCTAATAAGAGGAATTAGAATATTTGGACTTAATATGGATTTCAGATTTTTTTTGAGATAGGAAAACAGGTGAATTGAGAATTTCCTACCATTTTGAAGAAAACTCATAAACAAGATTTACGAAGTACCTATGCAAGCCTTCAAAACATAAAATCTATTCAAAATCGTGAAATGTTGTACAAAAAAAAATCGTATAATGCACTTACCAATAAGTGCATTATACGACTTTTAATGAACAATTAGTTCGATCGATAAAATATAAACGTAAAGAGACAAATTGCGGAAAAATATTTGCGAATAACTAACAACGATGTATGTTTAATAACGAAGAGACCTTTACAAACTAATTTTATCATAACTTAAAATGTAATAAAAATACCGCTGCTAACAATATTTGGACAAGTATGATATTTACATCAACTGCCTATTTATTTAAGCAATTGTTTGACAATCAGAATCCCAACTTATGTTACGAGATGTAGACCTATTATTAAGTTAGTCACTTTTAAAATGTTACATTTACTTGCCATATTCAGAGTTTACATTACGTACCTCTTGGAGTTACATAAACATTTTTACATTATACTGCAGCGTCACCATGAGCAAGCTGCCTCAGGCGTCGGATAAAAGGCTTCCATACAGCAAAACCCTAATTCTGCCTGTTAGAATTCCATTAGGCAACCTGATATTTAGAGGTTTGACCTTGGAGTTGGCACATGCTTCATATTCAGCATGATTTACTTTTTACTTTCACCTACAGTTTCGTGTTAAGGGAAAACCCATTAAGCAGGTATATTTAAGCATAAAATTAGTAGTACCAATTTGAGCTTATTGATCGTAGACAGAAATCATAAAAGTTAAGTAAGTAAGGTTATTTTTAGTCTCGAGGTCTAGAACCCTTTCAAGGATTCGCTGAAAGAGTTCAACTATAATTATAATAAGTTTAGGAAAGAGGTATCAATCCAGAACTTTTCATTTTTTCTGAGAAATTTCCTATGCGATGAACTGAACCTTCATTGCTTGTGGTAAATTAGAAAGGATCGAGTTCCCAACCTAAATGATAAAATAATATGATGATGATCTAAACTTCAATGGCGAGCTTATAGTTGTGGTCAAAACGTAGTCTTTACGTTTTGCAGGAGTTCATTCCTTCTTGGCCCTCTTTTTTTTGGTTGCTCCTCGGTTGATCCTCTAACTGTTCAAGTCAAAAATGCCTCAGCAGCGTTGAGTATAGATTAGATATCTAACTACGCTGGAAGTTCAGGGTGATCTTCGATTGAAGAGGGTCGTGTTCTTGCCGTGAGTATTCTGGGCCCTACATGAGAGTTACAGTGGCGGAAATAGCTGGTATAAGAAGTAGTTCACCGTCTTGCAAGAATAGCGCCGAGTCCCTCGCGAGGGCAGCTCAGAGACCGTGAGCGTCGCGTCGGAGTCAGATGGACCGCGATTGAGCAGAGTAAGGGAGAAACTTGCGAATGGCAGACCAACCCTATCCCTCTCTCTAGCGTAGGAGGTCAGCCCTAGGCCAATTGAAGGATCATATTCCTATCATGGAGATACTGGCTATCTAAGAGTTTCAATAGTGGGAAGTTCGAGGCAAAACTTTGTCTATCACAAGAAATCAGGTAGGTAGCTCACCGTTTTGCATGAGCAGCGTCGAGTCCCTTGCGAGTGGCAACTCAGAGTTCGTGACCGCGGCTACGTGGACTAAGGGAGAAACTTGCGTACAGCAGACTGGGTAGGTCTGCCTAGTCCAGCGTTGGTCAGCCTTAGGGCAATTGCAGGATCGTATTCCTATCATGGATAAACTCTACCCAGGATCATGGAGTTCATGAAGGAACTACAGTAGTGGGAAGTTCGAGACAAAAGCTTCGCTATCACGGTAAAGTAGACAGGTAGCTCACCGTTTTGCACGAGCAGCGTCGAGTCCCTCGCGAGCGGCAACTCAGAGTCCGTTAGCGTCGCGTCTGATGCGTTGTCGGACGCGGAGGTGGGGGTGGTGGGGGCGGTGGGCGAGTCGGACAGACCGCGACTACATGGATTAAGGTAGAAACTTGCGGACAGCAGACCAATCTTATCTCTTTATCGTGGGAGGTCAGCCCTAGGTAAATTTGCCGAAAGTATTCTTATCATGGTGAAACTGGCTCTCATAAATAAGAAGTTCAAGGCAAAACTTTGTCTATTACAAGAAATCAGGTAGGTGGCTCACCGTTTTGCACGAGCAGCGTCGAGTCCCTCGCAAGCGGCAGCTCAGAGTTCGTGACCGCGGCTACGTGGACTAAGGGAGAAACTTGCGTACAGCAGACAGGGTAGGTCTGCCTAGTCCAGCGTTGGTCAGCCTTAGGGCAATTGCAGGATCGTATTCCTATCATGGATAAACTCTACCCAGGATCATGGAGTTCATGAAGGAACTACAGTAGTGGGAAGTTCGAGACAAAAGTTTCGCTATCACGGTAAAGTAGATAGGTAGCTCACCGTTTTGCACGAGCAGCGTCGAGTCCCTTGCGAGCGGCAACTCAGAGTCCGTTAGCGTCGCGTCGGACGCGTTGTCGGACGCGGAGGTGGGGGTGGTGGGGGCGGTGGGCGAGTCGGACAGACCGCGACTACATGGATTAAGGTAGAAACTTGCGGACAGCAGACCAATCTTATCTCTTTATCGTGGGAGGTCAGCCCTAGGTAAATTTGCCGAACGTATTCTTATCATGGTGAAACTGGCTCTCATAAATAAGAAGTTCAAGGCAAAACTTTGTCTATTACAAGAAATCAGGTAGGTGGCTCACCGTTTTGCACGAGCAGCGTGGAGTCCCTCGCGAGCGGCAACTCAGAGTCCGTTAGCGTCGCGTCGGACGCGTTGTCGGACGCGGAGGTGGGGGTGGTGGGGGCGGTGGGCGAGTCGGACAGACCGCGGCTGCGCGCGCGCCGGCGCCCGCTGCCTGTGCTCGAGCCACTCCCGCTGCCCGAGCCGTAGGGGTGAAGCCGGCCCAGGCCTGGAACAATGAGAAACTACGTTAGACGAGGTGAATGGTCATTTTTACTTATGATTAAAGTACGGCCAACGAGAAGCGATACCAAATGTAAACAAACCCAATGTCATGGGTGAACCCGTCTGACTTTGACATATTTTGGCGGGAGAACGAGACATTACAACAAATACACAAGATGGGAAGAGACAGAATATATTGTCAACTCGAAGTCGTATCGACCTTTTGTATCGCTGCTAGTTGGCCGTACTTTAGATCATGGGTATTAAAATTTCAGGCCATTCTAAAGGTGTGGCGGAGCTGCGGACGAATGTCCAAGCTAGGACAATAACTCGCGGTTCCGTTTCTTTGGGCTCCGGTGGAAACCGTCGGGTTTTAGTGGGTAGGCCCCGCCTTTAGTGAGCAGGCGGGGAGAGTCCCATATAACCCAATGGCCATCCTCATCGACCGGTGGGTAAGCGCAAAGCATTTCCCAACGTTAAAAAAAGGTGTTGAAAATCACCCCATTGATTTGGCGAGTCAATGGTGATATGTGGAGTATGAGACTAATAACTTGATAATGATAGTTAATGCTGATGCTGCATGACCTACTGGGGTAGGAATTAAGCCCACGACCTTTCTTTTGCTGGAAGATGGTTGTACACTGATTTTGAAGTATTAAAATTTAGTGTGAGATGCAAATCTAACATGCATGATAACATCTGTCGTGTCTTTTTCCCTCTCGTTACTGCTTGTAATTGAAATGACGCATACGCTCACGTTACCTAAAGCTTAATGTTATTGAGTGATGAAGTTAAGTTATCCTTTATTCCAAAAAGATATAATGCGGAAAAACAAGATAAGAGCTTTTTATATTAATATCAAAGTACTCGTTAGTATGAAACACTTAATTGTACCTAATAAATATTATCTTGTTTAAATACATTTTTACGAAAGCTATAGGACCGTAGGGATAGTAAACTATTCAAAACTTCTAACGAATTAATACTCTGTCTGTGAATGACAAAAGAAAGAAATTAATATTCCGAGCATATCTTAAGTAAAGTACATTTTTAATAGAATCACAATATTAAAAATTCGCATAAAATTATAAGATTTTATTTTTAACTGTCTCGACGACTATTTTTTAAATATAAAAAGCAATGAAAAAACTTGTAGTTAGATTAATTAATATGACGAACACAAGGTTAGACCAATTAGTTCAATACTAAGTAAAAAGGACGATGAACCTGCTGTTCCTGGAACGGTAGATCAAAGGGACTAAATGGGATATGAATTTCCCAAAGTAATTAGTATTTAATTACTTGAATATCTATCGTCAAGCAATTATTGTTAGAACACGAGATTTCGCAAATCAGGAAATCCCTAAAATAGTAGATACGGAAATTAGCTCACAAAAGCAATTTTAGGAGTAAAATGTTTTGTTCCACAAAAATTAGGTAAGTATTAATTTAATTATTTTGTACATATTAAGATTCTACATAGGTACTTTAATATTACAAGGGAAGCTTGCATAATAATAGGCAATAATATCTCCTTGAAAGAAACCCATGCGTCATCAATAAATCTTTATTGTAAAAAGGAAAATATCATGGCTTTTATCTTTCATGAAAATATGCACGACCTATAAGAAGAACATAAATAAAAAGGTTTAATACGTAACGAAAACAACATCAAAAGATTCGCAATGGAAAACGGAACGTAAGGAGATAACAATAAAACGAAAGACAAAAAGGTTTTACCCGACAAACTGAATATTTTAAACTTAATGGTGACTTTTATAGGCTAAGTAGGTACCTCATATGAGTACGTGCTTGATCAAAATACGATAACAAAAGAAAAGAAGCCGAGCAAACAAAATAGACATGGCGAGGGCAACCGTAATTAGAAATAATAAGGCTTCAGGACACGACAAAGAACACAATACGATGCTCTCGTACAAATTTTAATGTGGATGCGGACAAAAACGACCGCCCTGTACAGATAAAGTCAATTGAATATATTTATCTATGCCGCCATGGGAATAAATGAACTTGAAATGTTTCTTGATTCTGCCGCGAGGTATATACAAGGTTATTTTTAGATTGCTCGTTTGTATTTTGTGAGGTTGTTAAATTTAGTAGGTAATTTAGTACATTTAACCAATGTATCACATTAAGCTTTCCTTCAGAAACATGCCCCGAGCGTCTTTTATAAACAGAGCAATATTTAGTAACACGTTTTCTGAGAAATTGTTGAAGTTTCATATTTTCTTTTAAATCTAATGCCTACTACAGTTAACTAAATTAAGACTGTCTTGAATTTATTTCAAGAGAAATACCTAAAACCCCGAAAACCGTCAGCACTCTCAAGAAATAAAGCTATAAGGAAAAACATTCATAAATGCGAGTGAATATTTTCAACACGTTTGCTCACCTGTAATCAGGGCTGCGCCTTTGATGTCCCTGAGCCCTTATTAAGTAACGCTGCGGTAGCTGCTGAATAAAAACAGGTCAAGTGCGGAAGGAACCGCGATGCAGACGTCCCGTACAAATTCTTTGAAATGACAGTTTCTTGTCACGAAAATTTTAAAGCTATTACATCTTTGAGGTGCTTAGGTACTTATTTAAAGACATAAAAATAACTTGGGAAAGTTGGGAGTCAGATATTCTGAGAAGCACTTTTATTAAACCAATATTGGAAAAGATAGTAAGACTGCTGTAACGGACTAGTGATAGAGCAACTTACAAAAAAGCTACTTTGAGATAGTTACACTGATGTTAAAAATACCTTGATTGACATTCCCAAAAGAGCAGTAGAACTTGGTAAAGCAACTGCTTTTAGACAAATTATCAATTAATAAAGTTTGATGACTTGCCAATACTTAAATCCCAGAGTCATATAAAAGTAACCAGGCGTATTCATCTAAAAGTAAACGTGTTACTATTAAACGCTCTACATTTACAATCACTACTTACATCTGACGTCTCAGCAAGGCACTCTTTTAAGATTAACAATCTGAAAAGAGTCTTTCATCATTGTGACTTAAGGATCTCTAAAAACGCTGGCTCTTAAGAAACCTTGCTCGATGAAACTCCTTTGACTCCGCGATTTGTGGGAAAGCATTATATCTACGTTTCCGGTCTCGTTCGCGAGCTATTACATATTTAGCAAGTGCTGCGGATTACAAAGAACTAGCTAGCTTGAGGGATATGTCTCTCTAGGTTATATTTCCGAGTAAATATTTATATTTTTCTGCCTTTTATCTTGAACCTTGTTTTGACGATATTAAAACGAAAGTTATGAATAAGTGTTTTGGTTTAAAAGAAGCAAACGCAACAACGCGAAATACGAGTAGGTACCTACCATGAATGTAATATTGTTTTTCTCAGCAATAAGAATACTTCCATTTTCTTCTTCTTTACTTCTGAATGAAACTATATTAACACCAGCATTCGTGGTGGTCATAATTAAGTAAATTACACTATCGTTAATGTAAATAAATCTACAGAAGTACGAGGGGCTAACGGGACTATTAGTAATTTATGCAATACAAATTGAGTTTAGATCAAATTCTAATATTGATACAATAAGTCATCTAAAAAATGAGTGTGTAATTGTATCAAAATAATGCTAATTAAGTAAAATCTGTATTTAGTAACAATAGGTATCGAAATCATGTCCGCATCAGGCTACTGTAATCCTTGCTCCAACGAACCCACAATGCAGTGCGTGTGTCAATACCATGAGTCGTGAATAAACAGCTCGCACTGTTGATGAACCCGATCAAATAGCCGAGTGTTTTAAATCTACTGGTTTCATTTTATGTATACTTTGCAAAAACATACTTTGATACATTTGAGGTCATTGTAATTAAAGAAGTAGTAGAACACATGAATCTTGTCTCTCATATACTTATAGAGGTTAATAATGAATTGACTTAGGTATTTGCTCCGATGGGAGCGAAAATTCCCGAACACGTAATAAAGAAACTTTGACTTTTAGGGCATTACACGGCCCATTAAACGTATTAGGCAATCAAGAAGATTATTCTCCTTTGCTCGCAAAAGCACCATACTTTCCATAAATAATATAAAGACAAAGCCTAAAGGTTAGGGGAAAAGAGCTAATGATGATTCGCTTTATTAACATTGCATTGCTTCTATCTTTTCAGTTAGATATTCAATGAACTAAGATTTCAGAAGCAACAAAGTCTTCGAAATGCTCGTTTTCTTTAAAAAATATAAGAATGGCAAAAACAATCGGTGCTTATTAAAAAGATAATGACATCCGCCTCATTAAAAATATTTTATGTAACATTCCATAATCTCACAGCCTCGGCCTAAATTATTCGAGATATTCTTTTACCTCAAACACAAAATTGCTGAGCGAAACCGAGATAGGATCTATCCAATAATCTCCCAATTTCAATTCTCATTATTCAAATACACGATAAGCATCGTCCTGAAAAGATATCTCGTTGCGAATTTCATAAAAAGAAAACCCGAAGCCGGGCAACGTTAGCAAATTCCCTTTAATCTGGTAACTGACTAATAGTCGTATGGGATCATTAAGGAAAAGTATCAGAAAGGAATAAACCAGCTGTACTCGAGTGCTCTTGGAGCTTCGAGCGAAAACTTTTTAATTTAAGGCAAACATCTTGAGAGGCCCAACTCAAAGGACGCTAAGAAAATAAAATTAGTTCCGAATGTACCTCATTACCGGACTTCGTAATTGAGTATGCAGATTGCATGTGAAAAGTTTTTTTACAAGGAGAACCACGTCAACTAGGTCGTTTCGAACTGGGCGGTTTCAGAGCGGATTAAAGAGGGAATTTCAAATGAAAGGTTTTTGAGCCGGCAAATTTAAATAAACTAGGCAAAAAGGAATACAAGTTGAAACTGCTCCAAATGCGTGCTCAAATATAAAGTAAAACGGTCAAAACTCACATGATCTCGAGGATCAACGTCATTAATGAATCAAACTAGACATCTTTTAGGAATTATGATTCTTGATTCATAATATTG